ATTTTTTACGCTGAGGGTGGTGAAACACTGGCACAGGTTGCCCAGAGAGGTGGTGGATGCCCCATCCCTGGAAACATTCCAGGTCAGGTTGGACGGGGCTCTGAGCAACCTGATCTAGTTGAAGATGTCCCTGCCCACGGCAGGGTGTTGGACTAGATGACCTTTAGAGGTCCCTTCCAACCCAAACTATTCTATGATTCTATGATCTGTTTCGGATTGCACATTGCTTCCTTATGTAGTTTTAGAAAGCATTAGTTATTTTAAACATACTCTGTCCAAGGCCCTGAAGGCAGCATGTTCTCTTTACAAGACCTCAATGGCTGGCCACCACTCAGCCCTCTGTGATATGCACAATTTTGGGACATACAAGTCAAAACCATTCAGGTACAAAGATAAGCATAAAAATCAAAGTGTCGATATTATTTCCCACAGAGGTAATTACGAATACCAGTAATTATAATTCACCTGTGAAGATCAGCCCATAGCTAGACTCTGCACCCAAGTCAATGGAATTCAACATGTGCCAAGGGCTTCCTCTTGCTTGATGTTTACATTGGAGACAGATGACACTGGGATATTTAGACACAGGAATTGGGATCTGTTTTGCTTCCATTAAAACTGGATATGGGGAAAATGATCTACATGTAGAAAGCACAGGGTGAAATGAGAGAAGTGAGAGCTACGCTGATGTTTCACAATGCTTAAGATTTTCTTGAAACCGTATGCTTTCACCCCCCATACAAAAACCTGAAGGTTTCTACAATATGTACTGAATGCCTGTTCTAACAACATGCAAAAGTTTTCCAGCAAAATGTTTCTGTTTAGTGTCCAATATACTTGTACGAAAAGTTGGTTTAAAGATACTAATACAATGATGCTGTTTTATGTAAAGTAGTTCAAATATATTTAATCTGTTTAAGCACAAGCTTGTTTCTTTTTGAAAGAATTCCAGAGCCACAAGTCATATTTTTAGACGTGAAAATTAGAAGAGTAGCAGAGGTTAGAGCCTGTTTCTGAGACCTCTCAGTGCATAAGACAAGCATGATTTAAGTCTATGTGCTTAGAAGATATCAGTAGTCAGGTTGTAAAGAAAAAAATTTAAAAAACCAAGCACACCAGAAAGCAGATTAATATACTTGTTAATACCAATAAGGCAAAGGAAAAAAAATCTAGGCAGTAGCATCATTCAGCTTTCAAGCACATGCTAAACAGATACAGGAGTTTCCTTACTTTGAATTCATAAGGGATTATGAAATGCTGAAACTGCTGATAGTAGAGGAAAAAGCCAATCAAACAACACTGCAGGCTTGCCTTTTAGTGGAGAGAAGGCAAAAATATACTATGCTGTTTGAACTGACCACGAAAATTATTCTGGATTTCAGCACAGTATTTCACAGCCCATTGCCTTTCCAATCCCTTAGTATTCAGAGAGCCATATGACTGAAACACTACAACAATTAGACACTAACAGTATTTCAAACATTAAGACATCGTAATAATACCTAGATGATAGGCAATATACTGTGTTAAATTTTAAGTACAGGTAGACTAGATGAAATGGGTTTATCGCCAGATTGAAAAAGATGCCACAGTCAGATACAGACTTAAGCCACAGATCTGTACCAAGATCACATCCCATCTAATCTAAGCTAACCCACTAGCGGGGTTTTGGGGTTTTTTTTGGGGGGGTGGGGAGATGTTTTCATTTTCTTACAGTCATAGTCATACAAGCTAGTACTTTATATAGACAAGTTCAAAGCTAAATTTGTATATACACAGAGAAGTGGAAAACTAAATGTAAATGGGAAGGACCAATAATGATGTCATATTATCCACTGTCATATATTTAATTACCTTCCACACTTCAAAGTGCACAGACCCCAAGTTTGTGTTGTGATGAAGCATTATTGTTATGTTTTCTCTCTTTTCATGAAAAAAAGCTCTTTTCATTCTCCGAGGACTCAATTGTTGAGAAACAACCATCCTGCCTGGTATTGCAAGACAAATGTTACTGCGCATACTGTGGTTATGATTCTCATCTAATGCAAGATATCAAATTACAGTCTATTTAATTAAATAGAATTTCCTTGGAAGACCACTACCACACTTTTGAAGATGCCATCATATCTAATACCACAGCAGTAAAATAGTCACTAAAAAATACTGAAATATCTCAGATGAGCAGAGCATTTGGGAATTATCTTCTTTCTAAAAATCAACTACTGACTAGAAAAACTGTGCAAGAATGAAAGGACTGTTTAAACAAAAAGAATCACCTTATTAAGCCTGTTAAAAAGTCAATTTCTCAGACTATAAATGCCCATTCCCTCTACATACCTCATTACCAAAAGCCTTGGAAAAAAAGGTAGGCTAATGAACAAAAGAAGCAGCCTAGCCTCAGGCCAATTTCTGCTTTTGGAAACGCCTATGTAACCACTGATGAAACAGAAAGGAGGTGTTTATGCATATCCACAAGAAAGAATCTGGCCTAGTGTTTAAATTGCACTTGAAAAAGATCATGTTATTTGAATAACTCACTGTTTAGACACATCAGGCATTACTGGCTGTTCTTTTTTCCTTGTATCCACTGTTGGCTCTACAGGGGTAAGTACTACAGCAGCACATGAGACTATCGACTGGTAGGAGTCTTCTCGGCAAACTGCAAAGATAAAAAAAATCTCAGTGTTAAGGAGTGAACTCAGTTTGTATTTTAAATGTTTAAAGAAAAAAATATAATCAAGTCATCCTGTGATAAACAAAAATGCAAAAGATTAATCAGACTTCACTGTGGTCACCTGCAATGAAAACTTCATTGTTTTTCACATTTCCTAAAGTGCTTGCTTGGCACTTTTTTTGCCATAGGCTGACACTCCATCATCATTCACTAAGTTTTACCTAGCACAAGATCTGAAGTCAGTCTGCTCTAGTTCACTGGTGTGTCAGTCCTAAAAGGACTCATATTTCCATAAATGGCATCAGAATATGATGCACTTTTTCCTTTTTCATCACAAACTCAAAATGAGAGTGGAAATTATGGATGGTTTTCAGACAAACCTCCCACCTTCAAAAATTTCAGACTTTAAGAAAACAGATTTGAGAAAATCTGATTAGTGATTTTTTTGTCTCCAACCATTACGTCTCACTTTAATCCAAAAAGGCCAAATCCAAATCGTCAAGGAGCGATAGCTGATATATTGATTCATTCTTTCCGTTAATACAAATTATCTATGTATTACTGTGCTGGATGATATGACTTAGACAATATTTAGAGCTAGAAGAACAATCATGTATTTCAGCTGAGCATCTGTCTCAATTAGCACTAATAAATGAATACCCAAAAGTTCCTGACCTCCAAACAGACAACTATATTTGTTAAAATTTATACATATTCTAAATTCTAAATTGTAAGTGCTACTAATAATTTAGTACTTAGCAGTCACCACTCCTACTGATTTTGAAGGTATGGATTTCCTTTACAGCCAAGGTGTACCTTTATGAGCCAAATAAAAGCTGGAATTAGGAGTTGGTTGTATTGAACAAAGCACAGCAGCTTCTTGTATTGTACATTTATGGTACTATTATATATCATGTATAAACATGAAGAAATGTGGTGACTTACCTTTCACGGAGAAAGTCACACGGTATTTTATATGTATAACATACAGAACTATTTTATAGAGTGTACACATGCACATACACAGCCAATAACATAGCCTGTAAAACAAGGATGACCGCAACAAATTCTCAGCAATTCAAAACCGGAAAGAACCTATTTTACAAGTACATACATTTATGCAAAATTGTGACAGCTGGGAACACTGAACTGTGGCATTTATTTATCAATGGAAAACTTGTTTCTGAAGACTTTCCTACCTTCCATCTTCCACAATCATGTGCCTCCTTATTGCCCACAGACAACGTACCTTTTGCATAGCCTATGCTCCTCTTACAAGAAAAGCAAAACTGGAGTAAAACTTCATCCATATTGCCTTGACTGGGTCAACAACAACAAACTGTGGTGTTTTACCCTGAGCACTCAAATTACATTCAGCATGAATTCAGCGCACATCAACAAGATACACTGCATGCCCGACAAACACCTGGAATGATAACTGGTGCTTTAAGGCAGCTAGAGAGTAGATTTTAAGGAACAGGCCAGAACAGGTTTGGATATTTCTACAAAGGTCGGAAAAGTGCAAAGGTCTTTTTGTTTTCAGAGCAATTCTGAGCCATTCAGCAAGCAGCACAAATGGCTGGAGGACAGGCAGATTCTAGCAGGAAGAAGATCTTTTTGTGGAGTACATGTAATGACGTTTAATGCATTTAATGTTCCCCAGCATTGCTTACACTTGTATTTTTAAATATTAACATGCACGTTGCGCTAAGTGACTAAGACACATAAGATGACCAGTACTGAAACCTTACCTTCATTTTTCTTTGGAACCAGCGCTACACAAAACTTTGTCACTATCATCGACACCCATCTCCAAAACACAGACATACCCGAAGAGAACTTGCTATATTGCCTACACGTATGCAAGTAGGATATACAGTAGAGCTTCATGCATAACAAATTAAGGAGGGAACTAATGCAAAATACATTGAATTAGAGAGACTACGTAAGAAAAAAAGAATTTTAGGTGATTGTTATCCTGCTATGTTACGTGCAACCAGCAGACCATCTACTAGCAAGGTGCTATTTGGTAGGCACCAAGTAATGTACAAAATAGTATCTTCTCATTACAACCAGTGACTGAATATGTGCAAATAAGATATATGTCTATTCGACTCTTGATTTACAGTCAAAGAATTGTAAAAAGATAGGTTTGTCAAAGGGTGATACTGATATTCAGTACCTGAATTTTTACCTGAAACGCTGATAAAAAAGGGAGAGTAAAGGATGAAGCAAATACGTATTTTTCTTTAAAAGACCTGTGGTACCACTTGAATATCTAGTTATTACTTTAGAACTTGTAAAAGGTCTGGTGACTATGGAAGCATGACAGGGTAGGATTTTCCCTAGATCAGCCACTGTCCATCAGGGCAGTTATAAAGAAAGATAAAATAGGAAATCACAAGTAACAAAGAAGAAGCTGTTAGTCTCCTACCCTTTACAGAAATTTCACGAATGAATAAAACTCTGAAATTGCTTTTGTTTAATAATTAATGCTATATAGAAGTTGTATAATCTCCTAATTTACAACTGAAGACAAACCCAGCAGTCATCCAGTGACCTGAGCTCACGGAATTTATTATCGTCCCATTCTAGACAGTGATACTCTTTGGTCTGGCTTTTGAAAACCACTACAATTCCTCCTTTTTATCTCAAGTCTCTGTGCACACAGTCATAAGTCATTATGGGACAGTATAGTTAACTAAAATGTCATGAAATAGCAACAGCACAGCAGCAAGTAATTTTCACCTACTGGAGTGTATTCTCTTATTATCTGTTCATAACTTGCATTAAAATAATGAGAATGTGCTTGAATGTGGACTCTCAACTTTAACATTGATGAGGATGGGCACTGTTTTACTTAAGGAGACTGTTTTCATTTTACACTTCAAACTTCTCTTAAGTGTAGCTTCTTTTCTACACCTTCATTTTTTATCTACAAGTGACTTACATTACACCCAAAAGCCCACTAGTGATGTCCACATATTGTACTCTTCAGGAATCCAAATCTCTTAGATCCTCAAAATATTACAAACCTCAGAATATCAAACAATTACACCAAGGGATTACCCCTTTTAACCGTAAATCCTCTCACATGTCCAACTTGCACTTTAACAGCCAGCAAGAACTTCACAAATTTAGCCTTAACACATGAATTGGTAAGGAAAATAGAGAAAAGCAGAATTTCCAATCATCTGAGTTGGTGTCTGGAAAAGCCATCAACATAAACAGCTGTCCCAGCCTATTACATTATTCCTGACGTGAGTGTGCAAATTAATTCCATAGTCACCACCCTCTGGGCCCAGCCATTCAGCCAGTTTTCAATCCACCTCATTCTCTGCTCATCCAGCCCATACATCAACAGCTTGTCTATGAGGATCTTATGGGAGACAGCGTTGAAAGCCTTACTGAAGTCATGGTACACAATATCCACTGCTCCAATAAAGAAACCAATAAAGAAAATTTTCCCATCTATCTGCTACATTTTTACAATGGCACACAAACGTTAAGCACATGTGGTAGGTAGAGGTTCTTTATTGCACTCACTGTTACATACCCCCAGAAGTGTGGAAAAAACTGTACAAGGTTGTCCTGATTTTGGCAGGGATAGAGTCAATTTCCTTCCTAGTAGCTGGAACAGTGTTTTGGATTTAGGATGAGAACAAAGTTGATAACGCACCGATGTTTTAGTTGTTGCTAGGTAATGCTTACACTAGCCAAGGACTTTTCAGCTTCCCATGCTCTACCGACTGAGAAGGCTGGAGGTGCACAAGAAGCTGGGAGGGGGCACAGCCAAACTGGCCAAAGGGACATTCCATACCATGTGACGTCATGCTCAGTACATAAACTGGGGGAAAGCTGGCCGGGGGGGGCCGCTGCTCAGGGACTGGCTGGGCATCGGTCGGCGGGTGGTGAGCAATTGTACTGTGCATCACTTGCTTTGTGTATTATTATTATTATTATCATATTATTATTAT